GGCAAAAAGGGAGGGGGGAAAATCAAGCTATATAGAAGCCTCTAGGGCACAGATCCCGAACCTTTTGGGCACCAGGGACTGGTTCTGTGGAGAGGTTTTTCCGCAGACCGGTGAGTGCATGGTTTTGTGTGCTGCCTGCATTTCACGGATGGGGCTTTGCTTGTTTGTGTGGACCAGTTCCTGGCATATTGCGGCCCGGTACCGGTCCATGGACCGAGGGTTGGGGACCCCTGCTCTAGAGTATGAGCACATCATTATTATAATGCTGTATTTTCCAGCTCATAGTGCTGGAGAGAGACTATATTGGCTACTGCTAATGTGAATCCTCAGATTTGTGCAAGGGAATTATCGCTGTTCTCGACGAAGTTGGAAGGAAAAAACAGTTTAGTAGCACCATATGGTACAGTATTTCAGTGGAGTTCAGAGTACTGTGCCCAAATTCTTCTTTGCATCAATAAATTCATCTAAAATCGAAAGCATTTAATGTAGCTGAAGTAATTAAATGTGGCACTAGTTACAGATGCATTTCATGTTAGGATTGTTAAAATTACATTATTAAAATTACATTCAAACATTATTTTAAATGCAAGATAATAATAATAATATAAATTGGAAGAGACCTTCGAGGTCATCTAGTCCAACCCCCTGCTCAGGCAGAAACCCTATACCATTTCAGAAAAATGGCTGTCCAATCTCTTCTTAAAAACTTCCAGTGTTGGAGCATTCACAGCTTCTGGAGGCAGGTTGTTCCACTGATTAATTGTTCTGTCAGGAAGTTTTTCCTTAGTTCTAGGTTGCTTCTCTCTTTGGTTAGTTTCCATCTGTTGGTTCTTGTCCTGCCTTCAAGTGCTTTGGAGAATAATTTTCAGGATTCGAGCAGAACCATGTCAACAGTAGTGCAACGTGCCAAAGACCATATGTGATATAAAATGGTTGATTATTGTCTATCTTTGGAACAGAAATGTGTCATTTTGGAACTGAAGCCCATTTGCATTGTTATAGCAGTGATGCATTAAACCCAATCCTGGTGCTTCAAACACTGGATGCCTCTCTATAAGCATTTTGTTGCTTTGGCTTTCTGCATTAAGTCTATTTCTGTCCCAAAGGTTTCATTCACTTATCTCCTTACCGAAACATCCAACTTGAGCCAGCAGTCTCAATCCCTTTAAATGTGTATGATAAAGTTGAAAGGATCCAAGGACATCTTCTGAAATGTGGGTCAGTTCTATATGTCTTCAATTTCTTAATTCACCAAGCTAACAAAACGGGAGAGGGGAAGTGCAGCTAAGCACATTATTCTGGAATATATATGCTATCACTAAAGCCAAGTAACCCACTGATTACAACCTAGTCTTGACCTTGTTAAAAATCATGTTCTTTGCCCAAATATGGTAAGCAGGCAGGAAAATGTATTAGGATTAAAGCAGCAACTGCTTACAAGGATAAAAAATGCAAGCTACTGCCTAAATAAAAGATTGTAAGGCAAAAATTAAAGTATGATCATTAAAAAAACAGATAAACACAAGCACATTAAGAAAATAATAAGATGGTGAATCAAAAAGAACTATTACTATCACTTACAGGGCAAAGAAGAGAATAAAAATTGACTTAACTGGCACAAAGCACAGTGAAATCAGACAATGAATTTTCATATGATTTTGTTTGAAAGAACTGGAGACAAAATGCCTTGTGTCCCTCCTAGACCTCTGCGTGTCTTCAAAATCTACTCTAGAGGAATGCCACATGTTACAATTTTATTTGAACACAATGATCAACAAAATATTGAAAATAACAAACACTGAGATAAGTAACATCGAATACAAAAGTGTAATAATAATTATTCCAGAACAAATTTCAGTGTACATGTAGTCCTCGACTTATGACCATAATTGAGCCCAAAATTTCTGTTGCTAAGTGAAATATTTGAGTTTTGCTCCATTTTACGACCTTTCTTGCCACAGTTGTTAAGTGAATCACTGCAGCTGTTAAGTAACACAGTTGTTAACAGAATCTGGTTTCCCCACTGACTTTGCTTGTCAGACAGACGCAGAAGCTGATCATACGACCCCAAGGCATTGCAAATATGAGTCAGTTGCCAAGCTTCTGAATTTTGCTCACTTTTGTTCACGGGAATACTGCAACGGTCGTTAAGTGTGAATAATGGTCGGAAGTCACTTTTTCAGTGCTGTTGTAACTTCAGTCACTAAATTAACTGTTGTAAATCAAGGACTATCTGTACATGTTCCAGAATAGAAAAAAGGTAGAAGCCTACTTGCAGTGGAGTCTGTTACCTAACATCTTGGGTACCTATTTGCAAAAATTCCAATTTGCTTCTGCATACAAATAAATTTCTGGTTGACCATCATCAGAGTATTTCTGCCTGGAGTACAATAACATTTATAATATTCATTCCCTATTACTTTATGTATCCCAGCCACATTTTGGTGGTGGCAGCTCAGCCAGATGAAGAAGGGTGTCAGTTCAGTTTCCAACTGTATGCAGTTCTTGCACTAGAGTAAGTTGATAATAACATAACATATAAAAATATTAGATTGAACTTCTATTTCTACATTAGCAAGTTTTGTTGAAAGATACCTAATGAATTTTCCCGATTCTTCAACATTCCATCTTGGCAACAATTCCAGTTATAATCATCATTTTAATACTTCTTAATATGTCATTAGGTACCTTTCTGCTGCTGTTGAAATATCATTAAACATGCTTTCCCTTATGCCCTGTAGATTGCTGTGAAGTTATTTTGGGCTAGGAGAATATTCTACACTATTCAGAGAAGGGTTTTTAATAAACTGCTTAGTGGGAGAGCAAATCACTGCCTTTCTTTTTCTGATTATCAAAATAAAAATGTATGGCAAATTAATGAGTTCTTCTGTATTTTTAATGCAGACATCAAATGTAATACATAAAGTTTATTTGCCTGGTCATTTTTCAAGTCCAACAATTAGGAAGGTAGTTTGTTTTGGATGAGACAATATTCCTTCTGAAGGAAAAATCTATATATTTGGGGGGCTGTACTTGATTCTGTTGTGTCACTGGAACTCACATGATGGTAAGTGGCAAGAAAGCTCATAGCCAACTTTGCTGGCTTTATCAGCTATGATACTATGTAGACTGAGACAGACCAGATTCAGTAATCTCAATAGTCTATGACATAATAATGACTTCACTTTCACTTTTCAGATTAAATTGTGTATCAGAATTCATTTTTCAAAGCAGATCATCAGTTTGGATTAGTTATCTCCAATCTATCAATGTGATGGGTTCTCCTCACTCCTACCCTTTATATCTGCCTGTGTCAATTAGAACAGCTCAGCTTGGTGCTTTGTGTGGCTTCGACGAACTAAGTCATTGTTCAAAACTGGAACTATAGATCTTCTATTAATAATCTCTTTATTGCAATGGACAGTGCACTGGAGTCCTGTTGAACTTAGTCTGGATTCTGCAAAGAGCACAGAATACAATCATCCAATTATTAGATAGGACCTCTGGGCCTGAAAATACTAGACTGCCTGTTTGTAAGCTATCAAGCCCAATTTAAGGTGCTGACATTGCCATGTCCAATACCATTTTGCCCACTATAAGGAATACATAACTCTTACAACAAAACAGTCAGGAGGACAATTTCTTGGTGGATAGCACCCCCTCCTTTTAAATCACAAAAAGCATGCCTGTTTACTCAAATGTCTCCAACGCATACTGCAATACATTTAATTTTTTGTATTTAGGATAGATGGTCCTATTGATTTTAATTTTACCTAGATCACTCTGGTTTTGAAATATATATTAACAATAATACATGACATACACAGAGAGTGTGTGTGCATATATAGAGACACACATATACGGACACATATAAATATCAGACTTACCTATTTCATAGTGCAAGCCTACTTGTATGAATAAAAAAAAGTTCCATTATAGTGGGGCTTAATTTTTAGTTTTACTTCCTTCACTATTTAACCAATGCTCATCTATATCAATGAAACTAGGAAAGGTTGTATTGAGCAATGCAGTTCAGTGGCACCTTTATGCAAATGATATCCAATTGTATTAATTCCTATACATCTAAACATGAGACAGCTACTTAAATTCTGGAGACCCAATAATAACTTGCCTCCTTACCATGAATTCAGTAGGTGATATTTGCTTCTAGGTTTTACCACTTTTCCTAATATAGCCAGCTGTTTTAAGGATAATTTCAGCATGTGTTGTGTTCATTTGAGCATTTGTTATGAAGAAATATATGTACTAAAACAAAAAAGCAACGTCATTCTTGGAAACAAATGCCATATTTAAAAAGGAATTTGATTTCAAACAAGCTGTGGCTATTACCATGTTTCCCTGGAACACCTACCCTGAAGATAATCCCTAGCTTCATTTTTGGGGGTGCGCCTAATATAAGCCCTACCCCCAAAATAAGCCCTAGTTTGGAGGCGAGGCACATGCCTAAAAATCAAACTAGGGTGGGGATGGTGGATGGAGCTGCCCCATGCACCCCACACTCACTTACCGTTGCAGCCAGGCCTGCCATGAATCAACAGCTGCCTCGCGGGCCCACTTCTCCAGCCGCTTGTAGCTCAGTTCTCGGCTGCAGAGGCCTTTCTGAAAGGCCTCTGATGGTGAAATGCAGGCGGTGTGGGTGTGCCCCGCATGTCAATCTGGAGCTCCATTCTGAGCTGCAGAGGCATTTCCTGATGGCCTCTGACAGCGAAATGGAGGCCAGAGGCGGCATGCACAAGCGGCCACAGAAGTAGCTGGGCAGGGCTGCCGGTGCCGCTGCTTGAGGTGAGACCATGGAAAAGACATTCCCCGAAAATAAGACCTGGTGCCTCTTTTGGAGGCAAAAAAAAGGACCAGGTCTTATTTTCAGGGAAACACGGTAAAAGGAAAAAGTCCCAATGGAGTCAATCTGTCTCAAAAAACAGAAGTAAGAATAAACATCACCAAATAATATAAAATTCAAATCAGATGCAAGAAGAGTGTTCTTAGTGAAATCACTGTATTAACAGGTCAAACAGAAACGTAATAAGTAAAGGTTTATCAGTAAAAACATTTCAAACTATATCACTAGAATCTCACAGTAATATTATTGCCAAAAATTCACAGTCGAAATTATTCTGAATAAAAGATGAGATTTGAATGGAGCACCATTTTGTTTTTATAATAAGAAATAAAAATACATATTGGTTTTAAAGTTTAGAACTTCAGAGTTTCTATAGCATTCCAGTTTCAACTCAACTGAATATTTCTTTTTCTGATTCAGTATAAAATAAATATTAATTTTCTGAAAGAATATGCAATTCCCAGTTGCTAAAAGTGAGGCCAGTACTGCATGTTTTTTAAATGAAATGAACAACAAAACGTTATAAAAAAACAACCCCCACTATTTTAATAGTGCTACAGATCACTTTGAAGGGTAAAATTGCTCAACCCTAGAACAAGGACCTTATCTCAAGGAAAGGTATCTTATATCTCTGCAGCAACTAGTATTTCAATGGGTTTGGGAAAATAAAATGCAAAATTCCTGCCTGCAGCAAGTTGGAGTAGATTTACAACTGGAAAGGTATTTAAACCTTGAGGATGGTTGTCTTTTGAATTTTAGATAATTACATTGAGGTTGAGATTTGGTGGCCTGGTTGCCTGACCAGCAAACAATCAGATGCAAATTATTTAAAAGTTTGTATGGTCTGTATCCTGTCTCTCCTCCAAAAATTCACGGTGGTAGTTATCTATATAGCACTCTTGTCTCACCACAACCATCCTATGGAATAAGTTGGCTTGCAAGTGTTGCAGCTCTTGTCTAATTGATTTATATTTATATGTTAAATTTATTTGCCGCCCATTTCGCCATGGGACTACTCTAGGTGGCTTACAACGATAAAAACAAATAAAAAGTGTAAACACATCAGTAGGAAAGTAATATATAACTGCAAGTAGATTTGACCATTTCCAAGGTTCTAAAAATTTTAATAGCTCCAAGAAGTGTTATGCAAATGTAGGAGTAATTGTACAAGAATAAAATTGAAAATATTGTACTTTATTTGCACACACGCACACAAAAAGCTGTAACAAGGCACACCAAGCAGAAGAAAAACACATATGTGGATAAACTGGTTACTGTTGACATACAATATAACTTTCTTGTATATGCAGCTTTGAAGTTTCTCACCCACATTTGCTGCTACGGAGAAGAATATACTGTCGCAACTGGTTAAGAAACTAAGAAAACTACCCACTGATACAAGACACATAAGCAAAACTAAGGGTCTCTGTATTCCAACACAAATTTTAGTGCAAACACAGCTAGAACAAAACAAGATATGTTCTGTTCCCAAAGGAGAAAGAAAGCAAAAGAGCACATTTTCCAAAGTATTTCACTTAAGGAGGAACACAATAGGCAAATTATAAAAAAGCTGCTATACGATTTACAAATACAACAGTTCTGATGCATCAAATAGGGATCAGAGGAAAACAGAAGTGGGATAGAGTATTAATTGTTCTGGATCAATTGTTCTGCAGTTATAGTTATACAAAAACTATAATTATTTTTGTATAACTATAACTGCAAATATTGCAGTTTGTAGCAGATATGTAAAATATTTTTCTGAAGAAGTAAAAAAATCAGAGTAGTATGTTTTTAAATTTATATTTGACAAGCTACACAAGTTGAAATAAATTAAATGGTTCATGAGATCCCAATTAATTTTCTACCAATTGAAGCACACAACCCATATTTGAATAAACCTTTTTCTTTAGTACTAGCATCCTCAGAAACAATGCTTTTACAAATAATGGGCATACGGTTAGACTAAGAGTCCCTTTAATTACTAAATGCAGTAGCCTGTAGCAGTATGCTACTTTGAAAAGCAGAAACCTGGAACAAGGTCGTGTTAGCCTATTTCATAATCCAACCCAGATTAAAATGGCCTTGATCACCATGATCAGAAAATATAAATCAAATGCAAGATCCTACACATACTCTTCACTGTTACACTAAGTTTCCACAAGCTCTTGAACACAACTTGCAGATCAGACTAAGAACTTCTGAGTTAATAAAAAATCCAGCTGTTAATTCTAGGGCAAGGTTCAGCTTAACCACTATATTTATTGCAGTGATTAATTCAAAGTTACTGGATTTTTTAAAATACTAAAATGTTAATTAAAAAAAAGCAAAGTGAAGATGACTCTGATTAATGAAACAAGAAATGGCTTTTCTGAAGAGCTATTTCTTCTTTGCTGTACCGATAGGGCAACCTTGCCTTGCATCCAACAGACCTGCTAGACCAGAGATCCCCAAGCTTTTGGGCACCAGGGAGGGCGGTTTTTCCACAGACTGGCAGGGCATGGTTTCATGCGCTGCCTGGATCCTGCACGTGCGTGGATGGAGCTTCACTTGCTTGCACAGCATGGTTCCTGACAGACCACAGACCGATGCCGATCTGCAACCTAAGAACTGGGGACCTCTATACCACACTATAAGTTTCATCTACTGTCAATATACCTGAAACTATTTTTTTCCTGTTTTAGAATTATTTTTGATTTATATTCTTTTTTGGCAAATTTAATTATCTAATTATTCCCACATGATTAATCTATTAAAATATTTTAATTTGGAGGCAATCCTGGAACCAACTATTGGTATAGAACTTCTTAATGCACGTGATTTAAAAATACAGAAGTGACATGTTATATGATTTCCCCTGTTACTTATGATTTTTCCTCTTAAAACAGTTTTGATATAAAAAGTGGCATAGAAGATAGTGAACTGTGAAAAGTAGTACTTTTTTGTTGAGAATGCAGTTATACTGAATCAATTTTTGGTATCTAAGTGCTCATATTAATCAAGAAGAAAAAAGCTAGCAAGCTACTTTACTGTAAATTAGAAACTGAATAGAATTTAAAAGTTAATGCCCAATAGCTTTCTTATATTAATATTATAATAGAAAGTATACATATTTTGTAAGTGACAAATTATAATGGATGAAAAATGTGACTTTGTGTTCTGTTCATGTTTCAAGAGGTATTCACAACTAACTGGAGGCAGCATCATAAACACAATAAGCTCAAAGTACATTAAAAGCTGAACACTGATGTGCTTACCGTGGTATACTGTAACAAATACACAAAAAATCACAATGTGAGTTTACTAGGGATTCTGAACTCTATTCACTTTGCCTTAATTGGTTCCCGCTCCAACCATCGTACTCTAACCTTTTGCTTATAATGATATTCCTTCAGAAAGTCCTGCAACATTGTTGGCAAAGGAAGACAATCAATCCCATCATATGAAGTGTACCTGCAAATTACTGCCCGGCAGATATATTGCAAGCTAAAAGGAAAAGTTCTATTTAGAGAAACTGTAAGTAGCGGTTCAAAAAACATGCAAGAAATAGGATCTTTGTAGTGTTCCAGAAGCCCTGTTACAGTAGAGGAGTGAAACACACAGGGATCATGAGCATCAAAACTGAAGTTGTGATTCCATTGCTCGATGCGTGCATGTAAAGACCGGTTATAACGGCGGAAACTCACTGAGAAGAGGTAGTCTTCTTGAGCAGAGTCCCTGAGCAAAAAAGTGCCTTCAGGTTTTCCTTCTAGAAGTGCTTCTGCTTCATAACGGTCCATCACACCCCAGTAGCATGGATTACTGGTAATCTGAAGTAAGTCTGGCACTAGGCAGTGAATATAATCAATCTGAGTATGTACTTTCCAAGCTCCTTGTCTGCTGATGTGGCTATGGCTCTCACCAGATATTTGGCGCTGCTTTTGTCTACGTGACTGCAAGCAGAGAGTAGTTGTGTCTTCCTCCAAATCACAACTTCCTTGCGTTGTTGAATTGCAGTCTCCCATCAGTTCAGACATGCCAGGGGGCAGCTTTGGCCCTAATTTATATAATGGATTAACCTGTGCAGTAGCTTCAAAAGTATGTATCTGAGCGTTGGGAGGAGGATCCACCCCTTCTTCTATACTGAGCCTTCGTCTCTCTCTCAGCCTGTCTTCCTCATCTTCTGTAGAAGCCAAGGAGGAGTCAAATGCATCAAAAATGGCAGAATGTGGGCTCACTGGAGCTGTGTGCTGCTTAATTAAATGCCACTTTTGGGCCAGATCTGACCCAGCAGGAAAAGGACATTTTTCTAACATTAGTTCAGAAAGATGGATCTTCCTTTTGTTGGAAAAAAGAGGCTTAGATTGTTTACAGTATGTTCTCATAGGGAAACATAAGCCTACAGTTTCCTGCAATCTTTGCCTCAGAGAACGATTTCCTATGGTTCTGCTAGAGATGCTATCGGTATCGTTAACTGAGCTCACACCGTATCTTCTTTCCCTCCTTTGCAAGTGAGAACAGCCAAATCTTTTATCACTTTCCAAAGAGCTCTGGGTTTTTGTAGAGCAGGAATGTTTCTTTTTCCCACCCCATGGAGCATGCCTTGAGTAAGAATCCCTTCGTGCAAATTTAGCTCCCGAGGCAACATTTAAGTCAATCTCTTTCTCAATGCTTATTTCAACAATCTGAGGGATTTCTGTGGCACAGTTTTGATTCTTCCTCGAAAAGCCTTTTGAAATATTTAGATTAAGTTGCAAAGGACTGCTAGGTTGCTGCTGAGTTGGACCAGGCACGCAAACACTTTTATCTCTAACAGATGCACTATTGGAATTTATGTCTACATTTTCATTTCTATTTCCACCTTCAGGATTAAAGAGACTTTGGCATCTGTACTTGAAGCTGTTCCACATTTTCCCAACTTTACCCATGGATTATGTTACCTACATCACAAAGACAGAAAGACAATTAATTTAGGAAAGTCACTTATTGAATAAAGAATAAATAGTTGAATATTTAATTCATGAATAAAATGAAAGTAATTTATCTCACTTTCAGTTTATATCTATCAATAAAAGATTAAGCAACTGAAATAATTGTGTTCCTTTAATACAAATTGACTATATTACTTTAATTGGGAAGAACACTAATTTTTTTCCTCCCAGCATTCCAGTGCTTTACTACTGTTTCCATATGCCTAACATATATCTGTAAATAAATATATCAATAATTCCAAATGTGTGCAGTTTTACATTTATATTGACTTGAGACATATCATAAGCACCAATCATTGTTACAGGAAAGGGTTAATAATTAGAGCTACTAAAATAAGCAGCAGTAATTGTACACACATGCCTAACTAGCCAGTATCTGCCTCCGTTGGATATATAAATATCATGTTGTCAGGTACAGATACAAGATACGTATTACTATTGTCCTTGTCATGTCAATTTCTGGGTGACTATAGCAGAAAGTTCCCAAATGACAAGAGGACTATTATAAATGCTCAGGCCTAATTTTACTACTGGAGTGCAGTTGGTTTTCATGTTAGTATGCAGTTTAAGGTGAGAACTTTCCAGATGAAAGTAAGATTTCAAGTCTCTCATGAGAACTCTAAGCATGTCATAGAGCTTAGATATGACAGACTTTGAACATCTACATCTCTGTGTGTGTTTGCATGTGAGAGCATGTGTAAAATTTAGACTGAGATTTCAACATTGAACCCTCAGTATTTTCTTTTTACTGGTAAATGACACAAATATTGATGCAAAAAAATTGGCATAAAAATATGATCACATGCTTTCAAGATTTACTTTCTTTAACCACAGCTATTAATCATATTAGAGTTGAATTTTCAGTTTGATTTCAATGATAAAAATACATCTATACTAAAAAATATTTATAATGATGTTATAATGGTTGAGTAGACCATTCACTTGATAGGTTTATTAACACAATATTTCATACTAATGAACTACAAAATCTTCTATTAAAAATAATTTTAGACAATTCTGGATCATTGGACGTTTTAAAAAACTCCCTGAAAACTCACTGATGGAGCTTAAATGCTAAAATCTGCAATGTTCCTAAAAGATAACTATTAGCAAAACCCTGTAAAAAGTGTTCTATTCATCTGCAAGTACATTAAAGCAAGAATTCTGAACGATGACCCACAAAGTGGTGGATGATCTGAGGAGTTGGCTGATCATTTGAGCAGGCTGCCTGCTTTTCCCCCCAGCTGCTGCTTAACATCAAAAGGCTACTAAATATATATCTCTTTTCTAATATTAGTTTTCCAGGTAAGTAATTTTTATAGTTGCCATTAAAATGATAGAACACTTTGAAAGAGTAGAATTTATTTTCAGTCCACAAGTATTATTAGCTCGCATTAAATTTAGACTATTATTTAACAGACACTAATCAACTACTTTGCTTAACACCAACCTACGGTATCAATGTATTGTAATGATGTGCTGTATTCCATCTGACACTGATTAATATGTTTTATCTAAAGAGAAAGGAGGAAAGATAGTAATACACATTTGCTACTGAGTATTCTATTTTAGTTGTTTATTCTATCACGGTTTTTGTCCTAAGAACTGCACTTGAATGTTTCCAATTTCTTAGATTGCAACTCAAAAGGCAATCTTCATTACAATGTTAACTAAACATACTTACAGGCCCTAACACTTAACAATTCTTCAATATCACCTTCAGTTAATATGAGCTCTTATTCACACAGTTTAGTTGCAAAAGAGAAAACTCTTTTTAAAAAAAGTTGTCTAAGGCTCAACATACCAACAAAAGCAAAACAAAATGAAATATAATATACAAGCATAATACAGTGAAACAAATGGCACTTCCTATGACAGCGTCAATTGTCAATGGTCCACAATTTTTCTATCTACACTTTACAACAAATTTATGAAGAGTGGAAATCATTCACACACTTGCTATTCCTTGTCTCTTTATCCTTTTTGTTGTTTGGTCATGTTTCCAATTCAAGCCTTCTTCCATCCTCTGTCTCACCTCCAGACCACTTCAAAATGAAGTACCTGGTTATTTTCAGCTGTCCATCGCTTTTACTTCCCAGTAATGTCTCTGAATGCATTTGGATCAAATGTTCTAAGAAAAATAAAGGCTAGCATTTCATTCTGGAAAAATTTTTTTTGTTCAATCGTAACTATTATAATTGAAAATCAAATAAGCTAGGCATATCATACATAAAATGTCAGAATAATTTTGGGTTAAATTGGGAAGGAGTCCCTGTGTGCATTAAGGTTTCTACTGCCAATTTATGGAATAATTAGGGTCCCATATAAAAATCCAAGTGCTGCACGATGGAGTGAGCTCCCATTCCTGCCCCAGCTCCTGCCCACCTAGCCCTTGGAAAGCATGCATATCCAAGTAGATTAATAGGTAACACTCAGTGGGAAGGTAACAGGATCCTGTGCGTCTTTGGCGTATAGTCATACTAGCCACATGACCATAGAAAATGGTCAACACTGGCTCTGTTGGCCAAGAAACGGCGAAAAACTCTGTGCCCTAGAGACAGATATAACTGGACAGGGAAACTTTTACCTTTACAAAGTGAACTAGAATATAAGAGGAAAATAGTATTTCCTTGACATATTTATTCTTCAAATTTGTGATACTGATTTATAAGCCAGTCCATTTGTTTAAAACAGTGGAGTTGCATTATTTTCTCATGTATGATGCATTATTAAGCTATTAATTACTAAGTAGTTCAACCATCAAATATTCATAACCATGCACAGCCAAAAATTAGTATCTCAGACAAAGCCAAATTTAAATAACAACCACGATACACATAATAAATACAGTTCTTACAGACCACATTTAAAACAAGAAAGCCATGAGAAGCTGCAGTCATGTACCAAACAGCCACTGCAAAGTAATCTCTGGCCTTGCTTCTATCCCAAGAATGGTACCTTTGGGATGTTCAGATGGAAAAGAACTCCAAATGGAAAGCAATAGTAATTACTGTATTCAAGGTATCAGAAATACCTATTACTTAAACTAAGTTATAAGCAAATCTGACATTATGATTCTGAGCCTACTTACATAATTTAGTGGGATACACTTCTAAACATGAATGCACAGGAGTACTTTGTTAATTAATTCAAACCTTTTTGATTGTGTATCCGTAGGGCAGCTTTATTCAACAAATTTTATTTCCAGGTAAATATATATTGGACTGTATCCAAAATCTATTTTATTGATAAAATCATCATATAAATGCAAGAATGACAAACAATTCTCGTCTCATTACTAAAAAAAATGGGCAAAGTTCTAAGATTTGTATGAATAAGAAAAAATACAGGGAATCAATTTTAGAATAATAACTCAATTTCCAGGTATCATTTTTTTTTGGGTCCTGATCCTCCTTTTTGGGTGTGTGTTCTGTTTGATATAGGTACACACATACAAATATGGACACAAAAATATGGCAATGTGGCACATCTTTCCTTTTATCATGGAAAAAGAAATTTCCAAAGGCGTTTCAGTGACTGCTGACAATCTTAGGGATGTTGGGCATTACGGAAAATTATGTCTACTTTATTCTTCTTTTTGGATGCAGAGCTGGCATACTATGAAATAAAATACCACCCTCAGTCATCATCTTGATTTCCCAGAATACTTCCAGACCCCACATAAACTAGTAGTTTGTTACACTATGGTTTGTTTAGAAATATACAAATCTGTCTGAGAAATGTGAAAGTGATACAGTAAAGAGCATCCTAAGGATTCCAAAGGGAAGGCATGAATTTGCTTCCTGATAAATGGATGAAGATCATGTTCATATGCACAGAGAAATACAAACAGAAACATACTGAATATGGATGTGAAAGTATTTTTACAATAAGCCTTCAATTTAATGGACTTAATATAGCAGACTTTGGATTAATGACAAAATCTGCTTCAGTACATGCATAAAGCCCGGTTCAAATTTAAAAGACATTCTGCTTTAACAAACACCTCCTCCCCTCATTAAATGTTAAATTGAGGCTTTACTGTATTTCTTACTGATATCATATATGCATGTATCTGTCTCCAATCAAATGGCTGAACCCCACAAGAAGGAAAGCTGGAGGTTTCCAAAAGGCCCTCTGGTCTTCACACCTTGGACTTGCCTTGTGTTCTGGGGCAATGACTAAATTGCTGGCACTGTACTGCCTTTGTAGGAATTGCCTCATCCTTCCTCTAACTCTGACATGTGGATGCCAAGGGCTCTTTCATCTCCTGCATGGCCTAACAAGGTATTTTTTTTAAAAAATAAAAATTTTATAAGAAAATAATTCTATAATAATTTTCCTTAGCCAAGCAGCTTAAAGGCATAGGACTACAGGCTTCAATTCTTTTTCCCATAAATAAATAGCTTTTCTAATATTATTTTAATTTAACAGAGTTTTCTGAAGCAACAGTTCTATTGTTTCACTTACTTCCAGGTTTTGGGGTAGATTTCACTTGAATCAAAGGTTGCAAAGGAGATAGTAACCCCAAATGTATCTAACCTCCATTTCTAGATTTGTTCCAAATGAACTCTGCTTTGTTCTTAAAACACTATTTCTAGCAGAGGGGGAACTGAGGGAATCAGACTGTACATGGATAAGGGCATGTCTTTTTTGTAGATGCAGACTCTGAATGGTAGAGTTTGAAGACTGCACATTCGGAAAAGTATTATATACACTCACAAAAATACAGATTCATATATAAACCCAATTCTTTCCCCCAGGTTTATTTTCCTTTTTATACAGTATCTGTGTTTTGTAAAAAGAGCACTGTATGGTTTGTTTTGTTTTGCAAAAGAAAAATAAAAAAGAATCTTAAGTATAAAGTCTACTTGATATTACTCTACAGAACAACATGAGAAGACTAAAAGCAAAGAAATTGCTTCTATTAGACAAGGAGCAAGAACAGTAAGCCAATATGCCTTATCAGAATATATAAGGAAGTGAAGGAGATAGCATCATTAGACAGATGTAAGAGATACCTCTAGGACCTATTCTGATATCTGTGTACGACAATATTTTATTTATTTGATTTCTACAGCTGCCCATCTCAGCAAGTGACTCTGAATGGTGTACATTTACATTTACTCATGTATGCTGTATATTTATTGCATCACTGCTGTAAGATTCTTTTAATGGTTTGAAAAAAGTGCTGAATTATATTTTAGAAAATCTATGATATATTGAAATGAAAGAAACACTTTTTGAAGACCCAGCTGCATTTTTTCACTGATGTTGGTACAGGTAGTCCTCGGTTAACAACAGTAACCAGGACCAGAATTTTTATTACAAAGCAATGTGGTTGTAAAGCACAATATCATATGAGTACATTCCTTAGTAATACAAACCCGGCAATCTCTGCTGCCATTGTTAAGCAAGGAACACATGTCGTTAGATGAGGATTTCTTTGCAACTTTGCTTCCAGCAAGCAAAATCACTGGGGAAGCTGGCAGGAAGTTGCAAGTCCCAGATGTTCACAAGCAGGCTGGCAAATAGATAAGTGGCTGCTGCCAGATGGGGATAATGTGCAGATGAGTGGTGAGGCATGGCAGAACTAAGAATGGTTGTTGCTGGGCTGGAGAGGGTATGCAAGTGGCCAATGAAGCCAGTGTAGCTGGGCTAGGGATGGTTGCTGCCAGCCAAGGGAGACTTATGGGAGAGACTTGCAACCTTCCAGCTTCCTCATTGTCTTTGCTTGAGGGAAGCTAACAGAGAAGGCTGCAAATGGTGATCATGTGACTATGGAATGCTGCAACTCTTATTAAGTACAACCCAGATTGCGATCATGTGACCGTATGGGTATTGAAACGGCCGGAACTTCGAGGACCAATCACAAAACCCCCTTGTTCAGCGTTGTCATAACTTTGAACAGTCACTGAATAGGTGATTGTTAACCAAGGACTACCTGTACATCTTTTCTGTTAAGAGATGAATATAGACTCTTTTTACAATTTCTGAATGCTTTACAGCCAATCAACCTTAAAACAATTTCCTCTACATTTTATTAATATAGCTGCCAAAGACTGCAAGAACATATATATTATCACCCACATTAGGTTCAGCATCATATATCATTTTTATTTTAGTTGTCCCTTATCAGGTGTCAACATCCACTAATTGGATAACTGAGGATTTTTTTTTATTCATCTTTTATGATATTGGATAAGTCAAAACAGTATAAAACAAATAACTTTAGTTCTTACTGGTGACAGACTTACAAACAGGGATTATGAACAAAACTGATAAAATTGCTTAAAGATAACCAACTTTCATATACCCCTTGGTACTCATGATTACCTAGTGGATAAGTTTAACTTGAAAATGAATTTATTTAAAGAAATCTTCAAAACAACCTTGCCTGCTAGTGACTTAAATGAATGCTTCCATGCCAGGTTTCTTAACATGTAAGAAAATGCTTTGCAACTGTCTTCTTTTGGTGTGTGTGTGTGTGTGTGTGTGTGTGTGTGTGTGTTTAAATTTATTTTCCCGTTGTTCAACTTCTCCCTCAATCCTTTTAATTCTTTGTTCCCTTCCTGCTTTTTCTCCTCTGTCTTCCTTACTTTTAGCGTTCCAAGTTTCAGCTGTTATAAAATCTGACCAAAAAAGACCAACAGGAAGAGAAGCCATTTAAGAAAACAAAAACCTCAGCAAATTTCTACTCTCCAACTTATGCATCAGAAAATACAGTGAAAAAAGTGTGTGCTTTTTCGTTAAAATCCCTTCCCTATCAGCATTTAAGGGTAAAACATTTGGTTTGACTTAACAGTTTCTTATCAAGATAAATATGCAAAATTGGGAAAGGAGATGAGTAGTTAAGATGGTGGAGAGTATGGAAACTTTGGAGCGATTGTTCTTGTAATTGTATGCTGTGTGAGCTGTATGCTGCATGTGCAGTTCAAGGGATTTTTTGGAGTGGCATTTGCCTGAAGCGAAGTTGGAATTGCTGAAGCTGGATCGCTTGACTCACTTCGGATTTTTTGGGCTGGAGAACTGTGCTGGAGGATGGCAGGGCATGCTGTTTTATGGTGCTGGCCATGCCTACTGTGCCAATCATGTTTGCCACATTTGTGATCTAGGTGGTTTTTTAAAAAT